TTGGAGCGCGCAGTCACAGCCATTGATCACCTGTCGCCTCAACTCTCGTACGTGGTTCTTCCGACAGGCACCAAGATTTACGGCTGTCAAATGCTGGATCAGTTCCCGTTCACAAACGACCTACCGCTGAAAGAGACGCTTCCACCTATTCCTGAGCCATACCTCTCTCAGCTCTTTTACTACAACCAGATCGACTGCCTGAAGCGCATTTCAGAAGGAAAGAAGTGGAAGTGGTGTGAAGTTCGACCGGACAACATCATCGGATTCGTCCCAAACAACAATGCCTACTGTCTGGCGCAAACACTCGCACTGTACCTCTCACTCTACCGATTTGTCGAAGGCGAGGGCGCAAAGTGTCCATTTCCCGGGAGTGAGAAGTCGTGGGTAAATAAGTACAACGAATCTCCACAAGACATGGTTGCGCACTTTTCGATACACGCATCACTGCATCCAGAAAAGACTGCGTCGCAGAGCTTTAATGTGGGCGGTCGGGAAGACAGTTGGAGCGGGAAATGGCCAGTTATCTGCGATTATTTTGGGCTAAAAGGCACGGGGCCCGAGGAGGGCTCACCACAGCCTGGCGCATATATTGATGCGCACAAGCAGCAGTGGCAGGAGTTGGAGAAGAAGCATGATCTCAAGCAGGGAAGCGTTGATAGCGATATTACGCATCCGGGATTCCAGGTATGTGTTTAGGTCTTCAAGTTTGTGGCGAGCATAGCTAACAAGAGACAGAACTTCATCATGACCATGTTCGATTTCGACCGCCAGATGAGCATGGAGGCTTCGCACAAGGTTGGGTACACAGAGGAGATACGGACAAGAGAGGCGTGGACAACTGCTTTCGATCGCATGAGAAAGGCAAAGGTAATTCCATGATGTTCAGTCGAACAAGACGAATGCTTGGGTGTGGAGTTCCTTGGTAGATGGCGGGCGTCTCCACCCGCGTGCCTTGATTAGCGTGGCTAGCGGGGAGACCCTGTTAGTACGTCCATGTCAGGGACAGACATCCCTCGCGCCACTTTGATGCGCCTCTCAACTCTTTCGGATCGTCTTGCGCTACACAATGTATTCAATGGCAAGCAGACCGTATTTTGTGAATCCACAAGGGCGAATGATAGTCCTGGCCTATTACAACGGCTTAGAATAGCAATCTAACCCCTTGTTTCCGGATGACGCTATGACGTGCCCATTGGTGAACTCGGGGGAGCGACACACGCGGCCTCAGCCACGTTACTACGAAGTCGTTCTCGACCGCAACAGATGAGTGCTTGCGATTGTACATCACCATGATTTCGATTTTGGGTGGCCCACGTCATAGGACGGCGCTCAAGGGCGTAGCGGTAGTTGGCGCATTATGTTTATGTAGGTTCCCGTTCCTGTCCCTGTAATGAACTGACCCCGTTCCCATTGTCGCATAGTAGGGCCAAGATACTTGTGTGTATGGAAGAAGAGGCAAAGCGCGTTGCCCTCCATTCAGTCTTCTACCTGGCATCGTTGCTAACCCGCCCCCTTAGTGATCACGCTCATCGTCGGCTTACGCCATGAACGTCCTCACGCAGACCTTCGCATTCCCCTCCGCATACTTCCTCTGGGCGACTCGATAACATGGGGCTGGCACCCGGACAGCCAAGATCACGGTACAGATGGGTATCGTGCCCAGCTTTTGCGCAACCTAATCCTTGGGTGGTATCAGTCGGTCGACTTTGTCGGTACACAGCATTCAGGCTTCATGTTTGACAATGACAACGAGGGACATGTCAATTCCACAATAGGCGAGATAATGGGCGCTATGACGGCTGCGCTGCAGATGCAACCGAATATCGTATTGGTGCATGTGGGCACGACTGATCTGGATCGCTCTGACAGCGCATTGTGGAAGGATGCGCCGCAGCAATTGGGAAAGCTCCTAGATGCTATTTTGGAGGCGTGTCCGGACGCTGTGGTTCTTGTTGCGAAAATCATACAGGCGCTGAACCAGCGGACGGGTGACAATATCAGGGCATTCAACGAGGCAGTGCCGGAAGTCGTGGAGGAAAGGGCGAAGAAAGGCTTCAAGATTAGAGTCGTGGACCAGAGTGTCGTGAGTGTTTATGAGCTAGCTGATGGCCTGCATCCGTGAGTTATAGAAATGAGGGGTACACTGATGCGATGCTGATGATTACAGATCCCACGCTGGATATGCGCATATGGGCATGATTTGGTTCGACGCCATCAAAGATGTGAGCGGAGATGGGCTGATAACGCCGCCTGTGTTCAATCAGACACTGTAGTATTCGAATCATGCAGTCTTGCCCAAAGTTCATGAGCTACCGGATATGTCGGCACGCCAGCCAGTGCCCAGAATGTTTACAAGCCGTTATCCTACATTCAAGCTGACCATGTCATGAGTCGCACATCAAGCAATCTCATGATGCCATTGCGACTCAGAGTGCGTTGGTTGGAAAAAGTACACGACTCGCATTACGTCTCTGGCCTACTCATGTAGCGGGCCATTCCACGCGGGGTCGCTATCGCCATGCGGGGTCCGTCTTTTTCCACCATATATGGCGCTAAAGCATTTCCAGTCTTGTCTCTTGCCATTTCCAACTTCCTATGCGATTATTCATCAACCAGCAATATACACATGGCACGTACCCAAACGTCCGTTCATGTCGTGCGACATCAATTTGATGCTTGCGAGAGGATTGCGTCGGCTACTGATAGTAATCACGATGAGTTAGGCAGGTCTCCATGTTCGGCATCCTGCAAAGTGGCAGGTATCCCAACTCGGAAATGCTTTGGCGAGGAGATGCCTTCGCCAATGTGACGGGGAAACGGCAGTTCTGCATATCCCTGTGCTTGCAACCTCGTGTCCCGAGGGCCAGTTAAGATTTGTATATTTGCCCAGGCTAGCCATTCCGCCACTGTGTGTTTGCATTCTGGATTTCGTCGTTGAAACAGCATTGTCTCTGTTTTGCGGCTACTTGTTTAAAAGAGCATAATGGGCATTATAGACGAAGAACGTCTCCGCCTGGTTGCGATTTGGGCGCCCGTTGCTGTATGTCAACCTTGCTGGCTCATTGACAAATATCAGGCCTGATAGGTTCCAGTTCATCGCATACGTCGTCTTGAACGCAATTTACAATGTCACACTACACCCTCTGGCCAAATATCCTGGGCCATTACTCTGGCGCATCTCTCCGATCCCGTCCATCATACACCTGCTACGCGGCCGCATTGCCTTTGAGTACAAGCGTCTCCATGACAAATATGGACCAGTTGTTCGCGTTATGCCAAATGAACTCTCTTTCAATACGGCAAAATCTTGGGACGATATCTATGGCCACCGTGTCGGTCTTCCCAGTATGGAAAAGGACGCTATCCATGTCGGCGCTGTAGAGGCCATTCCTGGGGCCACGAACTTGACCATGGCACCAGCTTCTCAACATGCTCGGCAGAGGAGAGCATTGTCCCATGCCTTCTCCAAGCAAGCACTAATGGAGCAAGAACCGATCCTCAAGGGTTATGTAAGCATGTTTGTCGAGCGATTGAGGGAGATGGCTGAGCGAGGCGAGCCAGCGAATATGGTGTCATGGTTCAATTTTTGCACATTTGATATCATTGGTGATTTGAGTTTTGGCGAACCGTTTGGATGTCTTCGAGAAGGTACGGTTTTCGAGCGACCCATGTGCAAATTCGGGGATATGTGATCAAAGCAGTACTAAGAGTGTTCCAGGTGAAGGGTCCGAGTCCGCAAACTGGGTTGTCCTCATTTACGAGGCAATCAAGTCGGGTGCCATTGAGCAGGCTACCCGCCGCTTTGCCAAACCCGGGTCCACGATGCAGAAGTTCCTTATGTGGTGTATTCCTAGTGTGATCCGCGAGCGCCGCATCCGTCACTTGCGCAACTCTACGGAAAAAACAGTCAAGAGGCTCAGCACGAAGAGCGACCACCGCGATTTCATCTGGTACATTCTGAAGCAGCGGGAAAAGAAGAACGAGGTCAGCGACAGCGAAGTCATCATGAACGCGGCTCTCTTCATCGTTGCAGGCAGCGAGACAACAGCCACGGAGCTGTGCGGATTAACAAATTACCTGCTGCGCAACCCGGAGATATTTCAAAAGCTCAAGGATGAGATCAGAGGCGCATGCAAGACCGAAGCTGATCTCAACATGGACGTTTTGGGTAAGTTGCCGTACATGAACGCCTGTATAGAAGAAGGCCTCCGTATCTTTCCCCCCGTCCCAGTCGGTCTCTTGCGCAATGTGCCCAAAGGCGGCGCTCTCATCGACGGACACTTTGTTCCAGAATACACATCCGTCTGCGTTTCTTCATGGAGCGCCTCGCATTCGGCAGCCAACTTTATTGAGCCCGACACCTTCATTCCCGAGCGGTTCCTGGACACGCCAGACTCCAAAGCCCGATTCGGTAGTGACATAAAGAAGGCTGCACAGCCCTTTTCGTTGGGGCCCAGAGGATGCATTGGCAGGAATCTGACGTACGTAGAGCTGAGACTGATTCTTGGGGCCTTTTTGTGGAATTTCGATGTTGAGTTTGCAGAGAATGGGGGGAGGTTGTGGGATCCAAAGGGCGAGTTTGAGGGGCTCAAGGCGTTTAATACGTGGGAGAAGAGTCCGTTAATGGTCAAGTTGACGGATATTAGAAAGACGAGCGCTTGAACGCTGGGTACCATTTACACCACCTAAACAGTCATAATATCAGTAGTTTGACCAGTCGACTTCGTAACAGTGAATATGCAGACTACTTATGATGTCATACGGTGCAGCACGTGTTTTCGCGACACCGCGACGCGGGGCAATTGCAAGCCCTCCAAGTCTCGTACGTCAGCGCTCCCAATCTTGCATTACCAGGGAATAAACCACAAAAACCACCAATGTATAAAAGACCTCTACAATCTCTCTTAACATCCCGCTCAGCAGCCCCACCCAAACTCCGTCCATTCCCCCATTACACCCGCACCTTTCACCATTCACGACTCATCTACGCCGCCTACAACATGCCGCAACTCCCACGCATCCTAAAAACCGAAGACCTGCCCGCCACATCCGCAAAATGGATTTCGTTCCAGAAAATCTCCTGGCAGGACCAAACCGGCAAAGACCGCGTCTGGGAAGCCGCAGCACGAAAGACACGCGGTAAGTCTGGCGTCGACGCCGTCGCTATCGTGACACTCATCCGGCACCCGTCTCGCCCGCCTTCTACAATCATCATTTTGCAGTACAGGCCCCCCATGAATGCTGTGTGTGTGGAATTACCCGCGGGACTGGTGGATGAGAAGGAATCGCCGAGTGAAGCCAGTGTGCGTGAATTGCACGAGGAGACGGGGTATAAGGGTAAATTGAAGTTTATTAGTCCGACAATTGTGTCTGACCCGGGGATGAGCACGGCGAATATGCAGTTAGCGGTTGTGGAGGTGGAGTTGAAGGAGGGAGATAAGGAGCCGGAGCAGGCGCTGGATGATGGCGAGTTTATTGAGCGCGTGGTTGTGCCGGTGGATGAGTTGTATGAGCGGTTGATTCAGTATGATAAGGAGGGCAAGACGGTGGATGCGAGGTTATGGCATTGGGCTGCGGGGTGGCATGCGGCTAAGTCTATGATGTGAGGGTGGCAGTGTTGAACGGGATTATTCACATGGAATTCATTGATTTGCGTAATGGTATGAATGAGATGGATAGATTAGGGTGTACGACTAGAAACTCATTATATCCTTCAAATAGCGCTCATACCCCACCGCCAACTTCAACCAGAATCTTAACCTGGTTATCCTTGTCGTTGATCAGACTCTTGAAGCCCTTTTCCTCCACCTCCGTCAGAGCAATCTTCTGCGTAATCATGGCCTTTGGATCCATGTCGCCCCGGCTAAGTGCGTCAATCACTTCTTGAAAGTCGCCGATCTCGTACGTCGCAATACCCATGTAGCTTCGCTCCTTGAAGTTGAAGTCGTTAGTCTGGATGGTGCATGGCTTCTCCCAAATAGCAATGTTGACAATGCAGCCACGAGCACGTGTGGCATGGACGGCCTGATTGAGTGCTGCTTGGACGCCAGCACAGTCATAAACTACATGTACGCCCTTTCCTCCGGTGAGTTCGCGACAGCGGGTCGCGAGGTCTTCGTTCACGGGGTTGATGATGTAGTGTGCGCCAAAGTTTCTTGCAAACTCTTGTCTCTTTTTACTGATTTCTGAAACAATGATCTTGTCGCAGCCGTTTGCCTTGAGAGCGAGAATAGTTGAGATTCCAATAGGGCCACCTCCCAAAACGAGCACGCTATCACCTTTCTTGTAAGGACTGACTTTGACGGCGTGCCAGCCAACAGCTAGAGGCTCGACCAGGGCGCCAATCTCGAGCGGGACGTTGTCAGGAAGGTGGTATAGGGTCGATGTTGGAACGACAATGTGATCTGCCAACCCACCACCCCATCCAGATAGGCCGATGAAGCCATTGGACCAACAGCAGTTATGCAATCCCTCTTCGCACGCGACACAGGTGTCATCGTAGATGATGGGCTGGATAACAACCCTGTCGCCAACCTTATAGTCTGTGACACCCTCACCAACCTCTTCTATTGTTCCGCTAAACTCGTGGCCAAAGGTAAGTGGGACTGTTTCGCCGGTGATTGGATGAGGTGTGGTAGGACAGAGGTTTGGACCACCTAGGTACTCAGCTTGGGACCACATTTTCGTCACTCTGCCAACTTACCCAAATACTCGTGGAGGTATAAAGGCGCGTCAGTCTCTTTGCTCTGGAATTCGATTACGCATACATACCACTGCCACAGATTCCGACCCACGCTGGTTTTATCTTGACTTGGCCTGGCTTGACTTCTGGGATTGGAATCTTCTCAAATCTCAGGTCCTTTTGACCGTGGAACCGCAGCGCGTTCATGGTACCATTGCTCGAAGGTGCGGACTGAGCCGGATTTGAAGCTGACATGTTTCCAGGTGCTATTACAGATATTATGCGACTTCGTGATTCGAAATCTAGATGAGATGATTAAAGAGAAGAGTTGGAGTGAAAGATATATGGCGATGCCAGCACAACGTAGCCCTCGAGACTGAGAGCTAGCCACGCCATGCTTCAAGTCTCGCGCCTGATTGCTCAATTCTCGGCATTTCTGGCTATCCGTGCTGTTGGAATACTGGAACGGCGGATTGCTGTGCCCATCTCCATCACGGCATACCACATTCGGCAAGCCCAGTGTCCATCACCCCGCACCCTGAGTGCGGGGTATCAAACATTGACGAAGTTGGAGCAGGTTTGAGGATTGAATTATTTTCCCGGGACTAACCGGAGCTGGAGAATTGGGATACCACTTCTGGTCATGGAAGCTCTTGGGGGACTGGGTCCAGGGTAGAAAGAGAATTTGGTCGTTGATAACGGTCAATTGCTTGAGAGGGACAAGCTCCTCTATTCACATCCAATACAGAATCGACAGCAATGCCCAGGATGGAATCGCAAGAGACAATCAAGGAGAATTTGGTCACATCTAAGGAGATGATCTGAGCGACGGAGCGAAAGGCAATCATGGGTGAAGTGATGATGGTGGTTGCGAGGAGAAGATGATGACGTCGGCAACTGTCGGCGATCGGAATGAGTGCTGGTCGGCCGCTGGACCGATCGGAACGACGTCGGAAACATTTTTTCTCTGTTAACTGTTCGCTCTACAAGCTTCATACGGCCTTCTGACAGCGCTAGTCTAGACAATTAAGTCGCGTTCGAAGCTTGAATGGCGGCACGACAAGCTCTGCCACACTTCGGCATAGCCGAAACGAGGCAATACGTAGCGCGGGCTACTTAGACGCGGGATGTAGCAAGCTTTGGCATCTAGTCGTCAACGGCGTGTGCGAAAACACGATGCAACGGTAAAAAGCGCGATCATTGACGCGTGGGTGACGGTCAAGAAAAGGTACAATGCACAACACACTAGATAACCCTCCCATGTCTGCACGACGGTCCAATCACACGGCCCCACAGGTCTCCATGGCGGGGGCATTCTAGAACTCCATCCACTGTTATGATATCACTGGCCAGTGACGATGGGTCTTGTCGACAGCTGGCCGTAGATTTCCCGGTGCTTCAACCCCGGGGCTTCAAATACCTCCCATTACCCCTCGACACCTGCCCCTCCATTGCACATTTCCCTTCGCCCTTTCCCTCCTCACACACACACGGTGTATCCAACTTCAAGATGCCTTACCCAGAGACCACCGACGCTTTTGCCGTCACTGACATCAAGAACTGGAGCAACTTTACCCGCAAGGAGGTCAGTTTCCGGCCCGAATTTCCCACCAATCCAATCGTCTTACTGACCTTCTGGTAGCTGCCCCTCAAGAAATTCGAGGAGCACGACGTCGACATCGCTATTGATGCCTGTGGTGTATGTGCTTCAGATGTTCACACCATTAGCGGTGGATGGGGCGAGTCAATTCCTCTTCCTCTCTGCGTAGGACACGAGGTCATCGGCAAGGTCATCAAGGTTGGATCAAAGGTCACCAAGGTCAAGGTTGGCGATCGTGCCGGTATTGGCGCTCAGATTGGCGCCGACTTGACCTGCGATCAATGCAAGAACGACCAAGAGAACTACTGCCCCAACTCTGTCGACACATACGGTGCTAAGCACACCGATGGCACTGTTGCACAGGGTGGCTACGCCAGCCACATCAGAGGTCATGAGTACTTTGTCTTCAAGATCCCAGACAACATCGAGACTTCCCTGGCGGCACCTATGCTGTGTGCTGGTCTCACCACATATTCGCCATTGAAGAGGCTAGGAGCCGGTCCTGGAAAGAAGGTCGGTATCATTGGACTGTAAGTTTCTCAACACCAAGGATATTGCAGTATCAGCCACTAACACCATTAAAGCGGAGGTCTCGGTCACTTTGGTGTCCTCTGGTCCGTCGCCATGGGCGCTGACACCTACGTCATCTCACACACCCCCAACAAGAAGGACGACGCTCTGAAGATGGGAGCCAAGGACTTCATCGTCACCAAGGAAAAGGGCTGGTCCGAGCCATGGAAGTTCCACTTCGACTTCGTCATCAACACCGCCGATGCCACCGACAAGTTCGACCTCGCAGAATACTTCTCCATCCTCAAGGTCAACGGCACCTTCCACATGGTCGGCTTCCCCGACAACCCGCTTCCCCCCATTCCCGCCCAGATCTTTGCCCCCAACGGCTGCTACATGGGCGCCTCGCACATTGGCAACCGACCCGAGATGGAGGAGATGTTCGAGCTCGCTTCCAAGCAAAATATCAAGAGCTGGGTGCAGGAAATCCAGATCAGCGAGGAGGGCTGCAAGGAGGCCGTTGAGCGCGTCTACAAGAACGACAATGTTAGGTACAGGATAACGCTGACGGGCTTTGACAAGGTCTTTGGTAAGAGGGCTTAGAAAGCTGCAATAGACAAACACTACTATATACCCGCAGGCTGTCAGTGCTTCTATTACAAAAATATATACTGATATATTCTTACCATGACGTCATGTTTGCTACTATGCTCTGTTGTGTCACTGGGACTAAGTACATACAGCTTTCCTCGCAAACGCGAATCTAGCCAGTATAGATTTGATGCCAATACTATCCCGTAAACAAAAGTGATAGCGAACAATGAGATGGAAAGAAGTTCAAGAAAAAAGGTAATTCTGATTGGTATTCAAGATAAAACTCCAAAAACATGCAGCCCACTAATGTACACGCTTTGCTTTCCTACTCCTCACCCTCTTAGACTTAAGCAACCTCTTCCACCATCTTCCCACTAAATGGCTTTTGCTGCGCCGCTTTCGCCACTTCACCGGCAAACATGCTGCCAACAGGCGTTTGTAGCCACTCCTCCGGGACGCCGAGCTGTGTGCCCTTTCCATTTTGGATGTAGCGGACGAAGAGGGGATTTGCGCGCTCGGGTTCTGGTTCTTCGGGCCCGTCTTCCGGGGCGTCTTGGGCGGCTTTGCGGCCGCGTTTTGGGGGTTGTTTTTTGAGGAGGCGGTTGATGGTATCGAGCTGGAGGTGTGGATTAGTGGATATTCAAGTGGGATGTGCGGATTAATGGAAAGGGAGACGTACCTTTTCTTCCTCGTTCCTCTTCTCGCTGAGATTCTTTCTTCGTCTTGCCATTTCCGCCCTGCGCATAGCGTGCTCTTCTGCCGTGAGATGTTTCTTCTTCTGTGCTTCGTTGGAGAGAGCCAGGAGACCTCCGTCAGTGTCGTCGTTGACTAGCGCGCGTTGTCGTTTGGTCATCTTGGTTACATCGGGCGTTTGGTCACGGCTGAGTTCCTCGTCGCTGTCTATTTCTTCGTCCATGTCTGCACCAGGCGTTACGCCCATGTCGTCATCGTCCTCGCCTTCAGCGTCTTCGTCTTCGCCCTCTGCATCTTCGTCGTCGAGATCCGAATCAGGGTCGCTCAGCTCCTCGTCATCGTCATCGTCCATTGCCATTTCTTTGGCCTCGACCTTGTCTTGGGCCTTGGTGGTTGTTCCGGCGGATGACTTGACGGGGATGCTTCGATTGGTGTTCACAACGATGCGTGGTGCTGGCGTATCCTCCATATCATCGTCCTCGTCTCCCTCTGCGTCCATATCTTCATCGTCGTCGTCGCCTTGGGCATCTTCGTTGTCCTCCGAGTCCTCATCCACATCCATGGCATCGGCCTCGTCTACATCTTCGTCCTCTTCTTCATCCTCTTCATCTTCGCTATCGACCTCCTGGACCACGCGACTGTTCCGTGACGCGCGCTTGCCCACGACTATGTTCTCACGACTGACACCCGCTTTGGGTGCGGCACCGCCAGTGGCTTGCCTGAGCTTGTTGGGCGATGATTTTACTGTGAGGTGTATTGACTGGCGCGTCTCCTCGGGCGAGGAGCGCTGTATGGTAGCAGCCGCAAGTGACTGATTTGCCGTGCCGCGTCGCGGACGGGTCGAGGAAGCTGTAGGAGTGGCACTGTACGATGTTAGAGGAGCCGGAGCTGCGCGTGACCGTAGGCGAGGCATGGGTATGGCAATATGTGCGAGCAAGGCCGTCAAGAGGAGGAGAAGAGGAGAGCAGGTTAATGAGAGGGATGGTGATGGCGTAAGATGACCTCCGTGTGCCCCCGTGGCTCAAGGCAGGGGTGTTCGCGTATGTGTGTAGGCGGGTGGCACAAAGATGGAGGTGAAGGACAAAAAGAGGGCCCTGTGTGGCCCTGACAGCTCTCTACGGCGGTTGTCGTCCCCGCGCTGCCCTTGGCGATGGGTGCCAGCCAGCTATGCGTCGCGCGCGCAGTCAGCCACATACCTGCTGTTTCCTCGACCGTCCCATCCATCTCCCTCGGACTCATCATACTCGGTGCTTATGCGTCGCATCCGCTTAGCCGCACGCTCAGCCATTGTTGCGATCAAACAGGCGGTGGTATTATGTCTCGCGAGTGTTCCAATTGGCCGTTGCGACCACTTAACGCGTGAAGTTACTCTGCGCTGGCTCAACCTTCAGATGGAGAAGCGCCGGGATCTTCCCCAAGTCCTATTCCCGCTAGCCTCATCGGGCTAGATACTGGTCTCGCCCACGGTCACCAACGCACGCCGCATCACTTGCATCACTTGCATCACTTCCCTTGCAGACAATGAACATGACTCTTGCATTCGTTACTCGTCTATCAGCATCCCTAAGCAAGCGCTCCCTTCACACTCTCCTCAAAGCTCTCCTTTGGTATTCCAAGCTTGTCATTCCAAAGACCCAAGGGCGCGAAGTTGCCCAGCTCCTCCTTTGAAAATGTCACGCTCTGTAGCAGGTCTGGAATGGCCGAGAAATCTCCCTTCTGGAGCTTTTCGCGCGCTTGTGCAATGTGGTCTTGGACATTGACTTTCTCAACTGTCCACTTTGCACCCGTCACCTTTTCCGCCGCTGCCAGGATTTCCTTTTGTGTCGTCTGGAAGCCGCTGATGTACACGTACTGGTTCTTTGTCTGATCCGCATGCTCGAGAACCTTGACTGTTGCAACACCAATCTGGTGAAGATTCGTTGCGGAGAATGTAGCCTCGCCGTCATCGAACAAGGTGACAGTCTTGGAATGGCTTTGGAAGCCCAAGAACCCAACCTTCAGCCCCCAGTCAAAGAATGGACCAGTAGCTATACTCGTCCAGCTGATTTCCGCCTCCTTGCTCTTAAGATAGTTGACAACGGCAAACTTGGCCTCAAACACGGGTACAATCTCACGAGCTCGCTTGTCAGGCGTATTGCTTCCGTACTCTGAGGGGATGAAACGTTTCACACCTGCCGCAATGGCAGCGTCAATCAGCTTGTGCTGATCACCAAGTGCCAGGCCACCGACAAGAGATATCACAGCATCCTGTCCTTGGAAAGCTGCCTTGAGACTGTCCTGCGAACTGTAGTCTGCGTGGATCACTTTGACATCGGGAGGGAATTTGGAATTCGAGTTTTGACGTGAGAGCACAGTTGTGTTGAAAGAAGATTCTTTCAAAAAGGCATTCAGAATTGAGGGTCCTAGGTTTCCGCCCGCCTGGTACTGTTAGTATCCACTAACCAGGTGTATACGAGATACCTACCCCGATGATGATGACGTTTTTGATCGACATGGTTAAGGGACAAGAAATAGAAGAAAGATGCAGGTGTGGAGGAGCTTTAGAAATGTGTGTGCAATTTTTGTGTTGGATGAGGGTGAGGTTAGTTGTACGATACGTACTCTCCGGTCTTCTTATCTTATGTCTGGGTACGCCTCAAGGAAGACGTGATCAAGCATCGCTATGGTGCATGTAAAGTGCCCCACATGCACTAAACCCACGGTGTCTCGGGATCGCGCTTCTTCCCGCACGCATTAATAATCCAACTTGCCTCTGGCAGTACAGCAAGGTCCCACTACGAGCATTCCTAGTCCTGTAGCGCTCCGAAAAAAGTAACCAATGGTGCGCCACCTTAACGAAAGTATCCAAGTGTACACCCCAGCCGCTTTGTCCCAAGCCTCTGATGAGGAGTGTGTACCCAGCCTCTCAGGTGATAGTGGCCGAGAGTCTCGCCGTCTGCTAACCGATACTTTGGAACTACCGCCCGATGGGTGAGATGGTTTAGAAATGATGGCTTAGCTGATGGTGGGGCCTGCTTAACAAATTGTGCGGAACTGAAACCAGGACAACCAGGGAAACCCACGATACGTTCTCAACCGAGGTGTTGGGTTCCGCGCGTCGACAAGAAGCCATAGGAGTAAATACCGACCGGACTAATGCAGCCGAATAAGCTGGTCAATGTTCCTCTAGGCATGTAGGGTTACAAGTAGTCAAGTTGTCAACTTACGAATAATCTTTCATTAGGCACTGTGTCGCAATGGCTGGTCGGAAATAATCACAGCAAACATTCACTAAGAACTCAGAAGCAGAGAAAGCGGTACTAAAAACCATCAAAGGCATGTGGGATATTATGTCGGGAGTGAAAAGGCCTCATAAATCGAGATCAATGCGTTGTCCTGATACACCATACTTTGGAGAAGTGACGTTTCTGTCTATATGGAATAGAGACTACAATTAGCTGGTTGGCGGTCTGCTTGACGATGACTTGGATATTTTAGAGCTTCTCCGTCTACATCTACACTGAACTTACACAATATCACCCAACCCACACATCGCGCTGTTCATACCCAATGCTACAGTTCACAATGTTGACTATTCGGCGTATAAAAAAAGCGGATAACATTCTAGGATTACTATCCAAATACAATCAATATCAACAACCAAACCAAAAGGTACAACCTACGCAGAAATGACAAGCTTTCTTAGGAACCCCTCACTCTTCAGTTGTGGCTCCGTCTACGCAGAGGATATGCGCCGCCGATCCGAGCGACAGTGGATGCCAGAACCTAGGATTCCATTCCGAAGCCTCAGCCCGTCTCCTGCTTATACCAATTACACTTATGCTCAAGAAAAAGGAAATCGCCGGCCATACAATACAGAAACACGTGTTCCGTCTTCTCCTTTCAGTCGTCATGGTTTCACACACACAAAAGGAGACCGTCATCCATACAATACAGAAGAGCGTGTCCCGTCTTCTCCCTTTAGTCTTTATGGTTTTGCGCAAGACAAGGAAAACCGCCGTCCATCCACTGCAGAGTCACGTTCCTCGACTTCGTCGCCCTGTGGTCCCGAGTACTACCTCGAGCAGCCTCGTACAAGAACACATCGAACATACCAGGCAGAGGACAGAGTACCAAGTCCCAAGTACAAGTGCGAGTATGAGTATGAGTACAAGTCTGTGGAGTTCATACAGATGCCATGGGGGACATCGTATCAGTATTCCTACGGGTACCCTGCTGATCCACCTACACCACCTCATTCACCGCGCACAGGAACATACACTTCAAGCGGCAGATCGCGGAAAGCACATTACACAACTGAAGAACGTCGTCCACGTAGCGTTTCCCCCAAGCCCCGACGACAGCGTAAAAGTTCTAGTTCTCACCAGTATCCTCGCTCACCGCCGTCGGAATCCTACTCCTCGTATCGTGAGTCTCCTCCTGTACCTGAGGGCATTCAGCCTCGCAAAGATCTGTACGCTGTACTCAAGATCTCCCGTAGCGCTACGACCGACGATATCAAGAAGGCATATCGCGCTCTGAGCCTAAAGTGGCATCCTGATCGCTGCGCGAGCGAGGATCGCGCAAAGGCCACGAAGAAAATGGCCGAGATCAACCAGGCAAAGGAGATCTTGTGCGATCAGGGAAAGAAAGAGTACTATGATCACTTCGGTCTGATATCCAGTGACTTGTAGGCTACTCTGAAAGCAGCAGAGAGTTCGACAACCAAGTGACTTGAGCACCACTCTGACAGCAGAGAAATCATGACTCGCACACTACTTTGATAGTAGAGAAACCATGACTAGTACACCACTCTTATAGCAGAGAAGCAAGATACTGTACAACTACATATCATACATAATCATTTCCTTTCAGAAAAAGCACAAAACGTAGAAAAATATAGAATAAAATCATTCCTTCAAGCCATAGGCACAGGTCTCAAATGCCCATCCTTGTCATACTTTGCCTTGAAAAACGTATAACTCAGTGTCACAGTCTCAATCCCCTTCATGTTCGGATCGGTGACAAACTCCGGGTCGATGTAAAAGAAAACAGGCATATCCACCGTCTCCCCCGCGTTCAATCGCTGCTCTTCAAAGCAAAAACATTGGATCTTGCTAAAATACGGAGCCACCTGGCCGGGCGTAACAGAGTACGTCGCCACGCCGATGATGTCCTCGGGTGACTTGTTGGTAGCTGTGTAAAACGCTAGTGCCGTTTCGCCGGGGAGAACGCGGACTTCGCGTTGCTGGGGCACGAATTTCCAAGGGAGCACATCGGAGACGGAGCCGTTGAAGGTTATGCGGATGCGGGGGTGGTTGGTTACTGGTTTGAGGCGCTCGGCGGGGTCGACGCTGGAATCGCCGCCGTGCGCGGCGGACTTGATGGGTTGGCCGCCCCAGCCGGTTTGTTGGCAGATCTTTAGGATTGAAGTTAGTGGGAGGGGAATTGGCAAGATGGGGAGGTGGTGTGGGGAGTATATACCATTTTGTACATGGGTACTGAGCCGTATGTTATAGCTACGAATCCGACTATTACACTAAATACATAGTTCCTGTTCACATTGAGTGATTGTTCCACCGGATTGAGTCCGCTTCATGCTCACATGACGGTTCTGTTCTTCATCTTGTATTGCGCGTGCATTTGGTCCATTCGCGGTACGGTACCATGTTGCGCAGCTCTAGTGGTGTTTAAGCATTTTTGCACGGCGAAGGCGGGATTGCGGGCACGTGGTATCCTGGCGAGCGAACGGGAGCATGTTGAACATGTCCATAGGCCTATTTGCCGCGAGGGCAGCTGTCGTAGTGTTGACGTGAAGGACATTGTTGTGTGAGCAGAGATGCAGTGAATTGGTTGTCGAACCCTCGGTGGACTGGTGGAACTTCGCCGCGGGATTTAACCGCTTTAGGAATGTCTACAAGGGCAAAAGTTCTGGGCTGGTTGCGCGCGTCGTTTTTAACACTCCAGCACGACCTATCTACAAGCCACCACTCATTTTACTCTTTGCGCATATATACCCTAATCTTTTTTTTCTCACTAAAGCTCAACAGCCTGGGCACCATGACGACGGTTCTCTGCGGCGTCTGCGAGACAGAGCCAAAGAAGTACAAATGTCCGACTTGCGCGCTTCCATAGTACGGCATACTCAGCTTCTCCTTAGGATAAAGAAACTAACATAGACAGCTGCTCATTAGCATGTTTCAAAACACACAAAGTCACACACCCAGAAGATGCCGTTTCGTCAACATCAAAACCCGCTGAGCCAACCATCCCACAACCACCACCACCCGCTCCCATACCACGCTACCTCAAAAGCCGCACCGACTTCTCCACTCTAGCCACCAGCCCCAAATATCAAGACCTTCTAAAAGCAAACCCTATATTGCTCTCCACCCTCCAACGCGTCTACGCCAAGACCATACAACCAGACCCGGAAGACGAAAGACGGCGGCGCATGCTCGAAAGGAACATGTCTCGAGGACGAGGTTCAAGAGGCAGAGGAAGAGGCAGGGGAAGGGGTGGCAGGCATTGGGAGGAGAGAGAAGAGAGGTGGACACCTAAGAAGGGGGATAAAGATGCCATGGCGGTGTTGAAGTCGATTCGGGACGGGGAGGACAATCAAGAGGAGAAAGAGGCTATGGCACAATTTGTGGAGTTGGTCGACGAGCTTTTCGGGAAAAAAGATAAGAAAACTGGTGTTGAAGGATGAGCATCAACCTCAGCTACGGAATCGTCGAGACGGTATACGTTGTGCCCTTGACTTGTCGAATCAAGCGAGCTCCTACCAGATGAACGAGAAAATCAAAAGGAGTGTGGCTATTCGAAGAGCGGGGATTCCCAGCTGTTGAGCAATTCAGTGTATGCCAATAGGAATCGGATATGGATAGCGACGTATGTGAATGATCTGCCGCCAATAACCTGTCGCTCAGGTTTTCCTACCCCTTCATGGGCCATAAGCGTGGCTAATGGGGTTTCTGGCGCGTTACATGCCGGCTGAGAAGATCCATGAGCCAATGTATAGCACATACTCCAATATGTACCAGCTATAGAAACATGTTCGGACAATTGTAGCATGTCTACAAACTTATATCCGGTACTATCGTACCCAGTCTAGTTACAAATGCAACCAACCTCAACTCAACCATCCGGACAAGATTATCAGTGAGCCCTCGAGTCAACTTCTAACCAACTAATACTGTTACTGTCATAGCATGGATGAATCTGTACTGTACTTTTTTTAGACCTAATCCTAGTGCTCACTTCAACGATGGTTATGCCAACCCACATCAAATTAGTGATTTATTAAATTGACTCACGGGCTATTTCTCCCATCCTATCTTGTAATCTATTTTCCATTTAATTCAGTATATTAATCCCAAACTCGGCCAAGATAACTGCGTATCCTGACGGTGAACATATTGGGAAACAAAATGCTGAATCTGGTACTACGAGAACTGCGACTCGAACATCAGGACAAGAATAGATGCCCAAGAGTTGGTTAGCTACAGAATACCGAAAGCGACTGCAGATTTCTGAGCGTTCGAGTGACTATTGTTTACTGCTTCATTGTCCACAAATAGCAGGAGACAACAGTCTCACAGCATTACCAACGAACCTTGAGAGGTAATGGATGTTTCGTTGTACTAAGGCAAACATCTAAAGGTGTTGAGACACTCACAATGTGCCAGAAAGTGTGCAAGTAGCAATTTAGAGACTCGCCTCTGAATCAGTGTCTTTCTTCTTTCCATAGCACCTTAAGTTTGCTTCCAAAGATATGTCTTATAGGCGTAAAGGCGACATCTAAAAGGAGTAATTGTCATTATTCTAAAAAGGCGCTCTTACCTCGCATGGGAGATGTTTATCGGACAGAGAAGAGTAAACTATCATATCCCGTGCCCTTCCCAAGAAAGCCACTCCTGTAAGTGTCGGGTATCCTCAAAATAATAAGGATATCCTGGGTTCAGAGAGTCGCCTGCCTTTATAATCACGTCAAACGCTCCGCCCACCTGGTTCCTTGCTCAGACATCAACACTTTCTCGTCAGCGATGCCGAATAGAGAGTTTATGTTCTTCCTAAAGCATACTCATCTGGCTAGCCCCAGACCAACCCGCTTCATGGATGGCACCAGTACAGTACGCTTCATAGAACAAAACCTTACCGTGCCGGAGTCTACCAACAACCGTGAACTCCATAAGTTTACACCCATCGTACCCAAACAGCTCTACCTCAACCCAAACGCAGGTGCAGCCTCACACTGTATCAAACGAAAGTCACTTCCCCATGCAGCACAGGATCTAGCACGAACAGTAAACAAAAGAGCTTCGCATCACGACAACGGCGTCTTACTCCCGCCCCTACCTATACATCGTAGCCCCGAAATACCCCACCGAACCATACGCTTCGAAGATTTCGTGCCAGAGCACAAACTCAAGACATGGCACGAGATGGACGACGACAAGTGGCGGGATGCACGCACAAATTCGATAAGTATCTTGATCACCAACATCATTGATAAATTCAGATACCAGGTTAGGAAGATAACACGGTACACAAGTCTCTGAACAAGCATGATTTGGTTATTAGGCGACGCATAGTTTCATAACCTTGTGTTGTATTCGTATTAGAAAGCAATGGACTTGAGTCTAGAAAGTAGCGAAGATTGCCCAACATTAGTCGATTTCAACGCATCAATAGACGTCAAATTAAATGAACATATACACACATCTAAAAAAACAACAAACTACAAAGTGAGTGGGAGGATTTTGAGAACAAAGGGATATAATTGCTACTGTAATAGTAATGGTATGTTCCGAGCCGCAGCCCCACATCCCGCAAAAGCCGATGACGACATGAATCCTCCCCGCCCACACATCGCACCCAATGAGTCATTTTCTGTTACCAACGCAGCTCATGAGACCAGCTGTCACGATTCCTCTCAGCAAAGCACTACCCAGTCGCCCGATCCTTTATGTTCTGTTTCTTACTAACTATGGAATGGATGTAACACAGCATTTCTCCATCGAGCACATCAGCCCGGCTGGCACAATTGGTTAGCGCGTGAGACTTTTAATCTCAAGGCTCAGGGTTCGGTAAGCTTTTCCAACCTGGATACAATCATGGGTTCGAATCACATAACTAACAAGTACGCAGAGTCCCTGGTCGGGCGATCAACGCACATGTTTTTTTTGCCTGAAGCATCGTATATTCTTCGGTTCCTTCTTCTTTGTTATCTTTTTTTTTGGCTTCGAGCAGACCACATGTATACATACAGTCTACTTTATATTTTTATTTTTCTCTCTCACTGATTCCAGGCTCTTTTAATTAGGTGAATGTAGTACTATATCATTAATCTCTATCCCCTTAGGCTATCCACCCCCTCGAATTACCTTACCAACCTTCTCCTCGAACCAAAAACGTACAACAGAAAATTAAAAACCCCCCCTCTCCTTTCCTTTCCCAAACATGCTAGTTCCCACAACCATACTCCCATCACCTTGTAACCCGCTGATATCAACAAAAAAACCACTAACCTTATAGGCAAAACAGCATCAAGTCCGTGCATGACGAATCTACCAAGAAGGGGAAGGGGGGGGGGGAGGTGCACCAGAAAAGTCCCTGACCCCGTTCCCCGCGTTTTTTTTTAAAGCTACGATAAAACGCCCTGTATTCAAGCTCAGACCCTAAGCCTTTTTTTTTGTTTGTTTATTTTCGCAAAAGGGTCAGGGCAAAGAGGTGGGGAGGTCAGTGCTACCTTTTTTTTTGTTTGTTTCTTTTATTCTAGAGTTGAAGAGATGCGTGCACGTGCTTTCCTTTGTTGCTTTTTTTTAGGTTGGTGTCTCGGAGACAGTGCGTGTGCCGTAGTGTTCGAAGAAGCGGGAAAGTCGGTGCTAAAAATGAGGTGTGGAAGAAGAAAAGATTGGTCAAGGGAGAGAGCGTAAGGGTCTGTGGGCTCGGTATGCCCTCTTTCCTTCTTAGGATATTGTTGGGTGTATGTAGATAAGGCTGGCTGACTTCGTTGAGGGTAACGGAGTCTCGGAATTCTGTGCGTGTGAGAACAAAACAAAACCCTGGCCCCCATTTTTGTATCACGAAACAAAAGTATCAATAGTGTTATTTTTTTTCTCTCTAACTTTTTTTCTTTAACTTGGAGATAAGAATGGATGCATGTCGAGTACGTGCGTTCTATGTACATGTGAACCAAGGTCGTATATGCCCATTCATGTTGTAGGTGTTGGAAAAAAAATGAACCATGCATGCTCATGCGGGATAGAGCCCCCAGCCTTCAAGCAACATATTGCTTTATTGTGGCGAGGCAACTTTTCCGGCAACAAGAGCGATCAATGCGGCCCCGACGCCGGAACCGTCCTTTGCGATACCGATCCGGATTCTCTTCTCCCCCTTGACGCCAATCTCTGGAACAGCACGCAGAGCCTCGCGAATGTATTCCTCAAAGTTGGGGTAAAACTCGACTAGCGATCCATCGACACCAATGTCAATTTCATCGCCCTGTTCACTGTCGATATCGCCGCGTGGAGGCTCAATGCCTGCTTTTTGCTCAGTGGTGGCAGCCGCCGCAGATTGGTTTAGACGGCCAGTGTTGATTACTACACCGGCAATGGCAACCGCAGCGAGACGAGCTGCACGGCGGCCAATCGCCGCGGCGATTTCACGGACGGCCTCTGCGTCTTCGGCGCTGACAGCGGAAATATCATACTCCTTGTCAAGAGTTTGTCTCAGCATGCGCAGGCCAGGGCTGTGGTCACCAGCGCATACACTGAGGAAGCTCGTGTCAATGCCCCACTGTTTCCATATTGGGCTGCCATCATGAATTTGGGTAGTGCTGTGCACATCGTTGGACGACGAGTTATCATCAGTGAAGAGCGGGACCTTGGGGTCCTTAATGAGCTTGAGCAGAGCAAGACGGAGCAGCTCACCCAGGAACATGCCTGATACGCGCTTCTCAAACATCTGAATACCGGGGTTCACCGAGTTCTTGTCAAGCTCAATATCGTACGGGTTGTTGGGCAGGGTGCGAAGCGAGTTATCAAACGAACCCCACTCAGTGTTGACAACCATCTCACCTGTGGACTTGTCATATTCACCCACTTCCTTATCATTGGTGAGCTTTGAGACCTTGGCCAGCTTCTCTACATACGCTCCATTGGTACCTGTTCCGAAGATGGCTCCGAGCAAGGTTCCAGTCTTTCCGGGAGAAGTATATGAGCGTGCCATGAGAGTTCCAACGGTGTCGTTGACCAAAGCAGCCACTTTGACGGGGAGGTGTAGCGCGTCAATCTCCGTCTGGAGCAGGGCACAGACGTCCTTGCCAATAGCATCTTCAATGTCGAAGCCCTTTGTCCAGCGCATCAACAGGCCCTTGTTGATGCCTATTTGCTGGACTGGGAAGGAAAAGGTGAAGCCCAAGTTAAAGATCTCCTCCTCTTCTGGCTGGCCTGCCTTGCCTTCCCTGCGTCGGAGAGTGCCGGCATAGTGGTCCTCGTGGTGGGCTTTCAGGAAAGCTTCAATCTGCTTTGCAAGAAATGAAAAGAGCTCCTTGGAAGTCTTGGCAACCATGAGCTCACGAGGAATGGCGACCTTGCTCTGGGTAATGGAGAAGGTGGTGTTACCATGTAGCTTGATGGAGCAGACGCGAAAGTTTGTGCCGCCCAAGTCAACAGCCATGTAAAGACCCTGTTTAGTTTAGAGATGGGTTTCGTCCACGTGCGCATTGGAAGTGTACCTTTTCCGTACCATTGGGAACGGCAGTGACGTAGGAAGGGATCTGGCTCATTTCGGTGCCCTTCTTCTCCAGGCCCTCGTCTGCGCGCCTGTCAGCGGGTGGATACAGTAACACAAGGTGGAGGGATGCATACCCATCTCCCTTATGAATTCCTTGACGGCCTTGTTGACGGCATTGTCGCTAAAGTCAAACTCGGCGGCGACCTGCTTGGCCTGGTCGGCGAGAGCCATGCTGCGCTTGTGGTTTCTGTTGAAGGTGCCGACGAACTCGACGTGTTGTTCTGGTTTGGGGCAGACGGGGGGTTCTTGTAGGACGAAGGGGTTTCGGAGGGTTATGGAAGGAGCTTGCTCTCTGTCAAGGATGCGGACGATGGCGTGTGGAAGGTGGGGTGCGAAGAAACCGGTAGCAAGCGCTAGCAGGAGAACAAGGACAGTGGCTACTGTGTGGGTCACAAGAGGCCGCCTGGAAGTGTTTTCTGACGGGGCGAAATGCTGGGTATGCCTTGGGCTCTGCGACGGGCGCGTGGCTTTACTTGGGCTGGACAGCGAGCCGTTCCAGCTGCTGCTGCGGCGGTGGGCGTTGGTGGTACCAATGCTGCTCATAGTAGTAGCTGCCCCGCCTTTACCAGCTATGACGAAGGACGAGGGGCAGGC